ACTCCCCAGATAAGGAAAAGTATTTCGGCACAGCCTATGTCTTCACGGTGTCAATTAGAACATACTATTGTAAGATTTACTTTAGCACCTGCTAAAAGACCCAGCTTATTCAGGAAGAATTCTATCTTAAAGCTAAGTTTGCATTTTAATCAAACAGACAGTGGCTCAGCCCACATTGGAGGTGAGGCAGACAGTCTTGACTGATATACTTCCAGACAGAAGCTGATATCCTGGAAAGCAATTAAAGCAGTATATTTCTTGTGTTGAGTTAAAAAAAAAAAAAAAGAAGAAACTTAACATCTTATCAAAGATGAACATTCTGGGCCCCATGTCACATTCCTGAAAACCCTCAACTGCCTGTAAAACCCCAGACCCTAAACCCTTCAGTGCGCCTCTCCGAGGTCGCCCGCACTTTCTAAGTGTGTAGTCTTAAAAATTTCTCTCGCCCTTTCAGGGCGCCTCTTCTGTGAGGCAGCTCACACTCCCCTTTCTCCAAGTGTGCACTTGCTTTCTTAAATAGAACTGAAACCTTTCAGGGCGCCTCTCTTCCCTGAGGTGGTCCACACTTTTTCTCTCTTTAAGTAACTTTAAATAAAACTTTTACTCTGCTTCATTACTGTGTTTCTGCTCTTTCTTTCTTGTGGCGGCAACAAGGACTGAGGAAAATACACAACGCCCTCCCCACTAACAGGTATGGGGCATTAGCCTTCATATGGCAGACATCATGTTCTTAGGAAGAAGGACCAGGCTTTTTAGATCCAGCATAGCTTCAGCGAAGTTCTGCCTCAGCAAAACCCTGATTTTCACCTGGGGGCCAGAATTCTAAAGCTCCCTGGCCACCCCACCCACTTTGCTCATCTCACCACTGTGCCAGCTCAGTGAGGTCAGCAGGGCAAAGGCGGGGGAGCAGAGGGGAGAGAAAGGGTGGTGACCCCCCAACTATGGCCCTCCCATGATTCTCCACAAGTGGAGAGATCCCTTTCCTAAAACATCAGGAACTCAAAAATTTAAGCATTTCAATGGGTTTTAATCTGTTGTGTTTCTTGTCTCTGTGTTAACTTGTCCCGGTTTTAGCCAGTACACGGTCTCTTCAGGTCACTGCTGAGTTCTTTGGACAAGACCCTGCTGAACTTCAAGACTGGGACCACCTGGCATGATGCCTCCACCAGGCCCATCATGAACATTCCCTGCCCCACATCCGCAATCAGCCATTTCTCCACAAGGTCCTTGAAATGGTGTTTCAAGACCACAGTATGGGACTGGGGTGGTCAGTGTACCTAGACCTTTTCTGCAGAGCTAGAGGGGACATGAAGATGACACAGACTAGATTAGATATGGACTAGACAGGGACTAGGTGTAGGTAAGCCCCTTAGATACACAGACACAGCGACACACAATGTATATACAGATGCAGCATCCCTGGCAACCGTGAGCCAGCACATGACTGTCATCTTGCCTTTTCAGCAACACTATGTGAAGGGGGTCAGGCAGCACACATGTCCACACTGGCTGTTTGCCCAGTGCAGTCTCTGGAGTCTCCTCAGGGCCTGCCTGCATGCTTGGGGAGCTGGTCCCTACTTGTGGCAGAGTAAGGTTCTGTGGTCTGCTGGTGCCCCAAGGGTTTAACCTTTCACCTGCTGGAGGCATCTGGGCCGACCCAGTTTGGCTGTTGGCCTGGAGACAGCACTTCCTGATACCATGCCGATTTGAGACCAGAGCGCTGTTCCGGAAGCTCTTTTCTACTTAGGAAATGTATTTTCTTTCCACTGCAGGGGAGGATAGGGAGATGTGAGGATTGGAAGCGCCCATAGTTACTCACTGGGTTTCCCACGGTACCAGAGTGGCCATATAACACCAACATGATTACTACAAATGAAGCATGTGTGTCTAAATTTGCCCATCTGCCTGCCCTTTTAAATAGTTGCCCACCCAGCACGGTGACCACACGCTCCACCTCCCCATCTGGGCTCCATGGCCCACGTGTGCAGAAGGGCTCATAGGGTTCCAGAATTCTTGAGTTCCCCCATGTGGACAGCAGTGTTTCTACGGCCCCTATACTGGAAGGTGAATTTTTTGGGTATAAAACCTGGATGCAGCTGGTGCAGGCTTTCCTGAACATCTTACACATATTACCCCATCGTCTCCTGGCACAAAGTGCTCTGCCCAGGAGGCTGACGATCTAACATGCTCTCCCTTATAAAATAATGAACTTGATTTCTTTTTCTTTGAAGTTCAGTAATTTTCCTAGAGTATGTCTTGGTGTTGGACATTCTAGGTCAGTATATTCAGAAACGTGGTATGCTCTTTCAATATGTGGTTTCAAACCTTTGGGACTTCAGGGAAGTTTTCATGCATGAAAATGCCCCCCAAGATAATGTCTGCAGGACTACAGTGCCCCACACCCCTAACTGAGGGGGTATTTTTCTGGAATCTTCATACGTCCCTCTGAGGTGTGAGTCTCACGAAGTAACTTAGGTCCAGTCAAACAGAACAACAGCAACCACCACCACAACAACAAAACCCTCAAGATTCTTAAACATAAGATTAATACACAGACTTGGTCAAAAAGGCATACACCCCCCAACCACAGAGCCAAGCCAGGTTCAAAAGACAGTTAAGCTGGTTAATTTGCAACGTATTTCAGTTGGCTGAGACCATTACATGACTCTACCTAGCAGACCTTTCAATTTGCCTACAGGGGGTGTTGGTGGGGGTGGAAGGGCCCTGCAACCCCTCCATTAATCAGGAGACCACCCACAGGTCCAGGAAGCCAATAGTGCAGCCCTTTGATTCAGGCAGAGGCTGCTGACTCACCTGAGGCTCCCTTGCCAGCTTCCCAACAAAGGGATGGGATCCTGATGGACCAGCCAGAAACAAGGAGGGCTTCACAGTGCATGAAAAAAGTAATCTGGGGGTGTGGGAGGGCAGCCCTGATAAGCTGGACCATGTCCATACATGGCAAGATAGAACAAATCGCCAGTGGGAACAAGATAGCAATCGGCCTGGAATTGTGAGGAATTTTTCATACCAGACAAACTTAATTTAGTTTGACATTTCTTGGTTCAATGTAGATGAGCCCAGAATAAAGACAACTCAATACTAGCCTATTGGCTACTCTCAACACTCATACAAAAACACTAGATTATGTTAACAGCATGAACAGGCAAGAACTAAAAATCTGAAGATTAATTTCCTTGGTGCGTAAACGCATTCCAAGAATTTAAATGTGAAGTAAAAGCCAGTGGCCAGAATGACTCTCCCAGACACTGAGTTAGACTCGTGTTCCCAAGGGCTCCCTGGCTGCCCAGCTCAGGCAGGTAAAGCCAGGGTCTGGGACCTCACCGCTGAGCCCACCTTCTGGTATAGAGTTCCCCTCAGCCTGAGACTTCTGAATATAGAGAGCTCAAGTCTCCTGCCCCCACCACACCCCAGTGTGTGCTGGGCCAGACATAGGGTCATGACCTTAGGCACTCCTGGTCGAGATGGGCAGGGACAGAGCCACTGGTCATGCAGCTCTGATTAGGGCTCAGGCCTGCCCATTAGGGATTCTCCATGCTTGTTGTCTCTGTGTCTGGACTCCTGGCTCCACTTCTCTATGAAGGGCAGCCTGTGTTTGCAGTTGTGTGGTTTACTCAGCCTGCTTCCTGCCAGTGGAACCTGGAGGGTCCAACAAGCCTCTTTTCATTCCATACCGCCAGTCCCTTCCCATCCAAACTGGCAGTGTTTTTGCCAATGTAATTCTTTGAAAAGCCTTTGGGTTGCCTGTGACTCCTATTGAGGTGCATTAGACAAAAGCCAAATGCACAGGTCACAAAAGGACCATCTTGGTCCTGCTGAGGGTTAAGCTCACAACTCCTGGGAAGCCCTAAAGTTTGGGGGGAGGTTCCCAGCCTTCCAGTCTTAGCACTGTGCAGCCACAGCCTCCGCTTCAGCATAGTGTCCTCCTGGCTGTCCTCTGGATCTGACCTGATCAGAAGCCATCTCAGGGTTAGCCACCTGGAAGGCCCCTCTCCTTCCTTTAGCTTAAGCAGCAGGAGGCCAAGGAACCTTCAGTACATCAGCCATGATCCTGTCACACACTGCCACACTGCAGGCAACAAGCTGCTGAGCTCTCTGCCACGTTGCTCCAGGTACCAGCAGGCCCACCCCTTCCCACCGACCCTCACTGGCAGCCTCCCAAAGACACGAGGTGCATCTCCCATTTCACCAGCTTTCACAGGCTCCCCAAGGCCCTTCAGCTCCTGCCTACTGCTCCACTGGTCCCCCACACCTGAGGATATGTTGCCAGCCTGTACACCACACTCCCACCTCGGGCCTTTTTAACAGCATCTCTCTGCTCAAACGCCCTTATTAGGCATCTCCTAAGCACCCAGTCACTGCCCACACCCTACCCTTCTCTACTGCTTACCCTCTCCCTGGCACTGCCCATATCAGAGCAAGTGTACCAACTCCTACATGTCCCAGTGTCTCCCTAGCACTGCCCAGCTGTGTGGGCTCCACAAACGGGCTAAGTAAACAAGGAGGGGCCTTTGCCCTCCTGAAACACCTTGAACAAAGTTGCCAAAGCCCACCCCTTGCCAGACGCAAGTACAGCCTCACTGTAAGGCTGTGTCCTTGGGGCAGGCGGCCATGCCTGTGGAGGCGCCCACTCTGCAGGCGGAGCTGCCAGGGTCAATACACAGCCAGATCTGTCTCAGAAGACACTGCAAGAGCATCAGACCTAGGTCCTTGGCATCCTATGCACACTTCCTCCAACCGGAAACACGGGGTCAGGACAGCAACCCTGGTGCGCCCAGGCCCTCGCTGACTCAAGATCTGGTGCGCTTTAGCCCAACCGCATCCCATATCACAGTCCCAGACCCATCAAATGTCCACCTCACTGGCTGGGGTTTAGCAAACCTGGGCCACGCTTCTTTGCCACTGTGTGCCGTCCTCCCCAGTGCCATGTGGGAAGGATGAACACAATCACTTTGGCAGTTACCAGCTGGCAGTGTGATAAATCAGTTAAAGGAAGTTCTTTTATTTTTGCAACGTCATTCCATACAAAAACAATAGAAACACAACAGTCTTAACAAGAGGCTTATAAATGAATATTTGAACAGAAAATCTGTACACATTATCATTTACAGCAATTTCACATGGTAAATTAACTGACTGTAAAAAACGTTCTTTCTAAATCCTTCTGCTGCCGAAACTCTTGGAGTATTACAGGTAGAAGGCCTACCTGGCGCTATTTACAAGTACCAAATTAAGACTGTATAACTTACATAAAATCTATTAGCTTAGCTCAATTCACTATCTTTGACTCTTGAGTGTTCCGTATGAGAAAAAAAACAATCCTGACATATTGACAAAAGGCCAGAAATTTAGTTTCCATAAAGACTTGGTCCACGGTTCCAAGACTCCTTAGGTACTAGTAAAGAAAGCCAGTGCTAGACTGTCCCCATGAGTATAGGTTATACCCAACCAGCTGCCTGACAAGTGGCAACTTCAGGTCTGAAGTGCTGTGGGGAAACCACTGAAGTATCCCTGTCAGGGGAGCCTGGACAGGGGTAGGGAGTGAGAGACTGAGTTTGCTGCAAAGCTGCTTGAGTTCAATTTCCCTTGGATTTAGCAAAACATGCAGAATACACTCACTATTCATAAAATCAAGGTTTCTTAAGCAAATAAGGCAAGAATAACAATTCACCATGAGATAATGAACTATTAACACACCATCCAGTTATAGATGCGTGAGGCATGCGTGGCTGGCCCCCAACCTCACTCCCATGGGCCTCTGGGGGTACCAGTTAGCTCATGGCCGAGAAGTCTTTCAAAGGCTCAGTTAAACAGGCTTCCAGGTCAAACTCATCCTCCACTTGGCAGTCCACGTGTCTAACTTTGGTGGGTGTACCAGAGTACACATCCTAGAAAACAGAATAACGGGTGACAGCTGGTTCCTCAGGCATGGGACACAGAGCCAGTGGCTGCTGACCCCTACCCAGGAAGGGAAAGCCTCTTCCCAGGCCCACAGGGCTACAGGACTAAGGCCAGTCACAGCCTATGAGCGCTGGGCGCTCTCCGGAGAATTCAAAATGAAAAGCTAATTTAAATCCACAGAAAGTATCAACCTTTGTTAGCTGGATGCGTCAAATTCCTATCCAGCAACACCCATTCCCCCACCCCAGCCAGAAGCCACTGACTCTTTCAGGCCTGGGCCACAGGCACTCAGCTCCATGCTGTGCTGCATCACCGCTGTGACCTGGAAGGCAGTGTCGCGTCACACTGCTGAGCACCCCTCACCTGCCAAGGAGGGTCTGCCTCCACTCTGGGCTGGGGCAGAGGACAGCACCTTCCAGAGCCCATCTCACCCCAGAACATGAGCCACTTCCTATCCCCACAACTTCCAGGCATCATGTGGGAACACCTGCCAAGGCTCTGTACCTGCTGATACTCATGAGGGCTGCGGCCAGGGTGCACGCACCGCTGAACAAGGCGCTGGGTACACACACAGCTTAACACACTGCACGCACCCCAGTGTTAGAGTGAATGTCAAAGGGCAGCCGGTTGAGCAGGGGCCCTTGAGACAGGTGACAGGTTCAAATGCTTGTGGACTGCTCTGATGGAGAGGTTTTGCTCTTTTCATTAAAAAAGTCTCTTGGAAGGCTACACATTCAACTGTTAGAGCTTAACAATTTAGAGAATTTAAAGAAGTTGAAGCCCAATGTTTATACCAACTAAAACCAAAGCTTTAAGTCAATGTTAAAAAAACAGTCCCTTTTTTACAATGCAGAAATCTGAACCACTTTATAAAAACATCACCACTAATGGAACAAACTGTCACACTCCGGCCCCAAGTGTTCGCCCTGAACCCAAGCCTTAGCAAATAACACCTCCCAGTTGAGCGACATACCGCTTTGAACTCCTCAAAAAAAAATCAAGTGTCATGAGAGGAAAGTCAGGGAGTTAAAAGAAAATGTAAAAGTTAAAGAAAATTCAAGAGACATGGCAACTTAAACTTGTAATCCTTTGCTAAATTCCAGATGTGGATAAAATTAAAGTTCCTGTGGCCAGGATTCTCACCTGGCCCTGGTTGACTAGCTCACTACACACGTGGGTAATACATTGCTATTGACTCTATATAAAGAGGTCCACCCAGTGTTCTGGGCGACACGGTGGCAGGGCTGCTCGGCTGCAGGAGAGCAGAGCAGAGGCTGGAGTGGTGGCAGCGCCGAGGACAGAGGCCCAGAGGACGGCTGTGTGGGCAAAGAGGCCCAGAGGCAAAGACCAGAGACCAGCTTGCTACACGCAGACTTGCTCTGAGTGGATGGGATTGTATAGACTGACCTGCCACCACGGAAATAAATTTGAGTACAACCCTTTCACCCCAAGAACGTTCTACTGTCATTTCTTCGGTCACAATGAATCCATAGTGAACTTGCCCAGGGCTGAAACCCATTGGCAAAACACCAGATCAAAAAAGAAAGACCGACCTTGAAAGGGACATTATCAGGACAACTGGGATACACACTGGATACACAGTTTACTAGGCAGCATTTCACCAATGTCTTGTTCTTTGAGCACAGTAGCTACACCATGGTTGTGTCTAGCATTTAGTGGTGACAGTCCCTGAAGTTACCCTGAAGCCAGAGTGGCTGAGGAGCACACAGGCAGGTAGACCATTACCTGGGTGTTCATAGCATCAAGTCAGCGTCTATTCTCGCCCAACCTGCCCTCCTCGCTTCTGCATACCCACATCTCTGGGCCCCTTTCCTTGGACACCCGCCTGCCTCTGACTTCAATCTGGCTCACTGCCCCTGGCCACTCACGCCTGTGGCTCTTCAGCTTCTGAGGCCAGTGGCATGCTCAGAATCTGTTTCTTGAGCTTAGTCCAAAGGAAGGAAGGCCCCTGCTGAGCTCTCTATGGGTTTCTTTTTAGTCCTGCCTATGTGTAAAGATCCATAAACTTGGATCATCATATTGTTCAATACCGTTTTCACTCATCTCCACAACTTCCCTATCACTAGTCTTCAGAATGATCTCCAACAGCTATATTCCTCAGGACGTAGCCATAATGCCATCCTGCTACTGCTGGACATGTCACACAGTGACAGAAGGCGTGATGTGCACATGGCAAGACTGAGGGACACACAACCATCTTACCAGGGCGACACCAAGGAAGAGAGGCAGGAGAACACAAGTCCACCCCTTTACTTTCTGTGCCTCTGGCCTGCCCTTATGTAAGGCCTGAGTGTTTCACAACAATACCTGTTTTCTGGCATTCAGCCTATTCTCTCACCTGATCCACTGGCTGCCTCCACACACCAACATCAAGGGTGCCCTTTATTATAAATGTTGATGTGGATTTGCTTGTACCCATGCAAAAAGTCTAAAACGCACACCCAGCCAATAACTAGTGTTAGATGAGGCACTGATTCTAATCTTACAAAGTTTTTTCCTTGAAAACATGTAATTTTTTACAATTGGTAAATGTAGAGAAAACCCCCTAGGCCCAAAGCATTCCTTTATTTAGTAACAATCAGTAGTTGGTTCATATCTAACAATTCATGAGCACAAACTTTACAGCCTAAAACTAACACCAGTGATGACACACGTGTAGACACTAGAACCAGAGAGGAAGAGTCTTTTACTTTTAAATGAAAATGGCAGAACTGACTAGTTGAATCAGCCAAAGTCCAAATTAAGGTCATTACCTAGGACCCCATCCAATCTTAGTTTGACAATGTCATAGAAAGGGGTAAGGAGCCCCTTTTTCATAAGCACCAGAATCAAACTTCAGCTTAAAGTTGAGTGTACTAAGCAGCACATGCCAGCACATTAACCTGAAATGCCCATGCCAGGAGACAGAGCCAAGGACAGGTACTCACGGAGTTGTCCTGAAAGCTCGTCTGGGACTCAGAGCTGCTCTCTGCAGATTCCGTCTCCATTTCCCCGAGGTCCACAGGATGGCTGAAGTGACACCAAATGAGAGTCAGTCACTGCCTCACCAAGCCAGGGCCCTCGTGAGGCAGAACAGCTTTCACGTCCCGTGGCCACACTGCCCCCTCACCCTCCCACCTGGGGACACCGAGCACCTCCTCTGCTCCACAGAGCCCAGCAGCTTTTGGCGACCCCCATGTGCCAGGCTTAACCTAGTCACTTGCAGAGGAGAGTGGGCGGCAGCTACTGTGTGCTGGACACCCACCTGGCCAACGCACCACCATCTGCCTGTTCCCCACCATGGTGGAGCTAGTCCTGTGCACCCACAGGCACCCCTGCAAGCAGAGACCCAACTGGGGGATGAACACTGCGACAGACCCATACTACACACCCACTTCTCCAATCTACTTGGAGAGAGAACGGGACACGAGTGCCACAGTGGTGCTATGGCATCTGTGGAGCCCAATTCTTAAGGCCACGTTAAAAACCATTTCAAAATGACAGCTTCTAAAAGAGTGAAAGTGGTCATAAAAGGCCATTTACCGATTTTTTTCCAAACACTTAGTTTGGATCTATCTGCAAACCCGTCCCCCATAAAATAAAGGGGTTTGTTTTGATGTCTAAAAAAAAAATGACAGCTTCTAGTCAATGTCCCCAGCGCAAAGTAGAAACCCAAATATTTGTTGAGTGAATAAGTGTGTTTCTGAGGGAGCAAGAGGCTCAGGTCAAGAGGGGAGCTGAGAAGACAGCACAGAGGGACTCCTCTCTGCCTCCCTGCTCAGTCAGCATCCCAACCATGAGGCAGAACTTCAGCCGAGACAGTTCCAAAGAGGCACAAGTTTAAAAACGGGGAAAAGCGGAAGATGACTGGTTAGCCAGAGATGGGTAAGATTCCTCAAGGGAGGAACAACCTAAGACAGGCACAGTCGCAGGGGGGCCATCAGGAGAGAAATTGGGGATCAACAGAGGTGAGGCTCAGAACCTCACCCCCTGTTTTGAGAGAAATCTTCTGCATTCATGGATGTTTTGTTGCCCTTGTCTAGCTTGGATTAACACGTAGTCTACAGGCACACACCTGATCATCTACATTTGCCCTCTTACAGCACTAAACTATGTTTTCTACCTTTACCTTGCATCTACCTACCACTTCAACATTTCATTAAAAAATAATAATAATAATGAGAAATGTGGGATTCACATATAACTCAAGTATAAAAATCAAACGAATATTCATATTTGACCTGACT